TGTTTATGAATTAGCGTTATACTAAGTACGAGAGGCGATGGCATGTACCCAGAGGAATTTTGTTAAAGATCGTATAGGTGTCTCCCATTGATGAACGAACATGCCAAGTACATCAATGATACGATATATGCAACAGTTATATGCTATGTATATAGCCTACTCGGGCAGGGATTAGCAGGTAAAGGAGAGGGATATGGTTGAGATCTATCAATTTACCAAGGAGGAAGCGACAAGAACTGCTAATAATTAGAGAAATCACCTCCATAAATATGCCTCGAACTTATATACATACAGTCTTCAAGATAAACCTTTTTAATACAAATTAGCCTAGCATATGCTCGCGACAGAGTCAACAATATCGACATGACCATGCATATGGTGATAACAACCATGGACATGACGTTCTTATTCCTCGGATTATTAAGGTTAGGCTGGATATCGGGTGGGGGGTTAGCAGAAGGACTATCCAAATCCACGCCCCTTTTCCCCGAGGGGAAAGTAGCTAGCACGTCGGCGATGTCGAACATTTTGATGATTACCATGTACATGAATAAGATAGAACTATTCGGCTGGGGTTTTCTGATCGAAACGGAAAGAAGCTACAGGGCTCGACCCTCTATTATTATAAAAATAAGAGAGCCAGTACGCTATTAATGGAAGGATTTCGTACTACAATGCCACACGAATAGTGTAGGTACCATAGGTAGCCGACAGCTCCGATGTTCTGCAGATGACAGTCCCCATTTAGCCCCCATAGTGCTGCAAGTCAACACCGCTAACCTCTGAGTGGCTCTGGCTTTGGGGGGCCGCAACAGATGAGTACTCCTGCGGGTTGTATAATAGCCCGAGTTTACGAGGTAGAACCAAACAGCATGGAAACAAATTCGTTGTTCCGCAAGCTAACAATAGGAACCTACAGCTATACATAAAAGTATCCATTGTTCTGAATGTCTCATTTGGAATCCTGACAGGAGCCTAGGAGTGAACTTAAAAAGGATACAAATATAACCAACATCCTCTCCCACTTACTACAGAAGAGAAGTATTATCCTTCGAACCGAATTTATAACATAAAAAACAAACTGCACTATCAAACGCAAGTTAAAATGGCTACTATCGATACCATCGCACCCAGTTGGGCCATTGACGATGAAGAGACTCTAAATCTTATAACCAGTCTCTTATTAGATGACGTAAAGCAGCTCACCTCGGCTGCTAAGGGGAAGCGGACTAAAGGCACACTCACAGATGCCGAGCTTGCTCTTCAGCTCTACTACGAGGAGTTAAACAACGCCGCAAATTTTGCTTCCGATCGTCAAATGAGCAGGAGCATCCAGATAGCAATACAAACCGATGCCGATGCCCTCTCCCAGGCAGAGCGCGAAGAATTCATAGCATAGAATGATCATGCCACCGCTTTCTCGATTTCCCAAGGAATCCCTATAGCATATGATATGGAAAATGATGGGCTTATAGTGTAGGTATAACCACCTATGATTTACGTCAGTACCTACCCAGCTAGTTATTATCACATTATGTCTAAGTAATTAAGAGGATATCTTATGTATAATATAGAGACTGGGTTGCCATTTTTAATTGGAGTGATATTACTATATACCTAAGGTTAGGTAGGCAAATATACTACATGCTACTACTATCGTAGGGGAGATTCTCAGAAAACTCGACTAGTTGTAGTGTACCCACGCTTTGTTATTCTTTAGGTTATAGTTCGTTAGTTTATGATGTTTATTACCGTTAAAGACATTAATCCTGTGATAGCCAGCCTTGGATCGGGTCGTTCCGCATCTTAGGCATTTCTTGGGCATTGGAATTCCTAACCGGTGGCACCTGTTGCTACTGCTTTGACGCGATTAGTATGCTCACGAGTTAATGAACAACTGTCAGGTCGACATATCGTTACCAAAATGCTTAAGGCAGCATCTACATCTACTCGAGGATGGGTTTCATACGTATTACTAGTGAATACTTAGGTACACGAGATCGACAGCCAGCTCTCAGCTTCTCTCGATTCTCTAACGTCAAATCTACTATACACACTATTAACCCATATTGCCAAGTCAATACATATATGACAAAAGTTATAAGTATAAAGGACCATAGAAAGAGATTATGTACACGAAATGTATAAGTATATAATATTGCGATTTAGTTTAAACCACATCTCGGTAGCTATAGTTAGAATATATAATAGAATTTTTTTCCGAAGTTAAATTTTTTTTTAACACTTTCGACTGGCACACGGCGACGATTCTAGCTCGAATACCACCTCGAATGAGATGTATAAAGCTTTTATATGCCTTGATACTAGGTAATATGATGTTATTGATCAAAACAATGGAGAACGTTCTGCAGTTTTATCGGTATTTTGATCTCTTCCTCACTTACACGATTCCGACGGTTTAATTATATTTCTCTCCGGCCGATTCGAATTCGCAGAATTATCTTTCTAAGCAAGATTATATTGAACCCTACTCTGGATCTACGAAGCTAAGTGGAGGAAATGACAAGAGAGCATCCGTGTTTTGACCTTATAATAAGTATAATTTAGCTAGGGGTCTAATCATTGTTAGTCGTACGTGGAGCTTCGCAGACTCGCAGACTAAGGAGGCAAGGAAGGGTAGGGATAGCGTGTTACAATTGGCCTTTGTTCTCGTAGACAAGCAACCTTTCGATAAAGAGTGCTATGCCACCCACTCTACTTATATTATTATGAAGATGAGTTATCATCATGTACATCATCATTTACCTACGATGTGAAAAACAGTGGTCTGTATATTACTCTAGAACATGTGATACGGTAACTTGAAATGGTTAAATATACGGCTTAGTTACATAAAGGGGCGATCTATGAACATTCATAAATGGATATAATTCTACGATATAGTCGTATAAAGGCTCCGTCTAAGCCTACACTCGGTCAAAACTTAAGGGCATGTGTATTCCAGGCGGGCCGTTTTAGGGCCGATGCGAGATATTATAGTCCAGCCCGAAAGGTTAGGCAGATTGTCTTGGGTAACTCCAATTTGTAGATACCTAGGTAGGCACCTAATGTACCTGACTGGCTGAACCCAATGACGTATTTCCTTTGAACCACGAATAAAGCTTAACTCGGACAAAGTCTTACACATACACTAGATCTATAAATAGCATTGCACTAAAAGACTACACCTTGTACTACGTTAGGGTGCGTACAGTAGCGTTTGTTAGCGCTTAATGATCCCCCACTCACACTGTCCTAAGGGAAACTAAAAGGTGACCGACCGAGAGATTAGAAAGAAACCCCCGCTTGCAGCTAGATTTCCCAGATTGTCAAGTTTTTAGTCTTCACGTCGTCGAGTAAAACGAACCTACCTATTACCTAACTTGGGGGCGATATGCGAATAATAAGCTACATAATCTACCTCGGTATATACCTGTCGATTGCAACATGTTAATGTAGCTTTAAGATAATAAACCCAAAGTCTTAACGATATCCCCGGATACGACTATAGCTAGCCTATTACAACCTGTAAAGTGGACTAGGACTCGAAAGCAAGAGCGAGATCTGCAGGTGTACCTAGTCTGATGTAAGAGGAGACTCCCCGAGACCGCTAATCACATGAATCATATGTTAATAGCCACTGTTGTCTTACAATTTTTCTTATCGAGAGCAAGAGCATAAATGCTGGCGTTGGGGCTGATACCATCTCCTCTACATGCGGCCTTTTCTCGCATCGGACAGATCAACAGAGGGGTAGACGTTGTATGTACTATCACTTAGGTTCACTCAGGTAAGGTAGTCTTGGAATTTTATTTAATGAAAACAGCTCAAGGTAGTTCAAGTTTATAAAAACTTAGATTATTTTTTCTCTTTACATGTAGTGAGCTTAGTAGGTACTGCATGTATAAGGTAGGTGAAGGTACCTAACAGAAGGGTGTAACCTAGGTCTTACTTACATAAGATTAGGTTGTGTCATTGGAGAAAAAGACCCTGGAGGTTGGGTTATTGGGTTAACGAGTGGAAGCTGCCTATTGTAGAAGTAAGGAAAGCCCTGTCGCGACCTACTAGGTAATGGTAATAATGGTACTCTAAATTCTTTTTGTTAATTGATTAGCTGAAAGATGAAAGTCCTCATAATTTCATAATTTCTCTCCTCATCCTCGTTCAACATTCATCCTTCGCCCCTGGGCGCTGTCTATCTTGGATTTTTACTGGCGCTTTGTATATTTGTTTTATGTCTTTGTGTTGCTAATGAATACTCGACCCTGTACCCCTTTCTTTATCGCTCTGCTTTGTTGCTACACTTTGTCTTTGACATCAGGGCTTCTGTCGTTTATGTCGGCTTGGATTGGGTCTTTTTTCGACGCGCAGTTTTTGATGCCGATCGCGATTCGCACAGCCTATTAGCGGCCGGAGTAGCTCAGTCAACTGCGCCGTCTTAGAAAACGGAGAAGACACGGGCGAGGCCAATCATTTTTTTTTTGAAACCTCACTTGTTTTATTCGTCTACAATCGTAACAGTTCAGATCTATTCATTCGTCTATTCGTCTATTCATCTACTCAGACGACCGGCCTAGTTATAGAACAGCAAAGCAAAACAAAGTACGAGTACGAAAGTAACGAAAGTAACGAAAGTAATACTTAGTGCAAAACGGGAAAAGAAACATCTTCCAACCTGGACATTTTTCAGCATAGCCCCCCCGCAAGAAAACGGGAAATCCCTGTAGGTTGATTAGAGGGGTGCATGTGGGAATCAGACGGCACACCTCGAACAGAAAATAAGCCAGATCGTTTTTATCTATCCAAGAAAATCCTATCTGTACGAAACGGTTGATCTCGGTCCTGTTCGTGTTTGTGCTTTGCCTCGAGTTCTCCTTGTCTGCGCTGCACCGAGATCTGCAGCTGTGGGAGAGACAAAAGAGAGGTAGATAGAGCGCAACAAACGGCCCAATTCCGTTCGGTTTAGGGAGAATAAACCTGATACATACAATAATACCATTATGCCCTCCTTCGGTCGCATTGGAAAGCACAGTAATCGTTCCCAGCATAACCTGGTCGAGCAACAGCAGCAGCAGCATCATCACCACCACCACCATCTTCTTCAACAGCAGCAACAACAACAGCAACTTTCGTCTCATCAACACCAGGTGGCGGGCAGTGGAGCTACTGCACCGCCCCATCATCCTCATCAACAGCAAGCTGGTTCTACTTCTATTTCTGCTTCTCAGACTGGATCTAGTCCATTGAATCCCGGAGGTCGTCGAGTATCTGCCGCTGGTGTTCCTATTACAGTTCCCGTGACTAGTTCAGTGCCTATACCGGTATCTATTAACGATTCTAATACCACACCTTCTTCAGCCTCGTCTATCGGCCTTAGTTCTAGTGAGTCTTTTCAACAACAGCTGCCACCACCACAACAACAACAACAACAGGTCGACACGAGGGCCGGTCAATCACAATCACAGCAGCAAACTCCACATACTTCACCGCGTGGGCATCAACATACGCACCATAATCAATTAGGTAGCCAGCAACAAAGCCAATCGGCCCAGCCTCTTGAGGCGTACGGAAACAATCAAAATAATTTACCCACTAGTTCAGTACCCCTCAACCAAACCCCCGCTGCTTACACTGCGCGACAACAGCCCCACGATAATTTCGCCGAATTAGTCTCAAGGTCTCAGTCTGCAAGATACTCACAATTAAATCCATTGCAGACACAACAGCCATTTGGCATCGCATCAAGCTCGGTCGACAACTTACCTCAGACCGTCTCTTCTCCCTCCGTAACCACCAGCCAACCATCTCTATCGCATAGCCAAACCGCCCCCACTGAGCCAAAGCGATCAACACGAAAGCTAATTAAGAATATCCTCTCCGGCTCTTCTTCCTCTAGTCGGCCCAATTCAGACCACTATCAGGACGCTTCTTACGACAACAACTCTGGTTTAAATCGCCGACCCTCCAAACGGGCAAGCAACACCCCTGTCGTCAGAGGCAACCCTTTGTTGTCGCGACCTATCGACCACCCCGACTGGGTCCCGCCCCAAAGTAGCTCGCGTAGCCACCACTCACCTATCCAACCTGTACGCGACCTTGAGGACCCCTACTGTGCCGCCCGTTCTAACCAAGATATGCTTTCACAGAATCACACAGAGCCATCCCAGAATACTATAAGACAAGTTCCTGCCGATTCCGATCCTGACGCCGACAACTCGCCATATAGCCGCGAAGACCTTTCTTATCAACAGCAAGCTATCGCCCAGCACCAAGCCCAGTTACAAGCGCAGGCCCAAGCTCAAGCCCACGCACAGGCGCAGGCGCAGGCTCACGCGCAAGCGGAGCAGCAACAGCAATTATACGGCGGTCAGATCGTTGTCGACCCAGCGCAGAATCAATACCAATACGCACCTCCTTACGAACAATATCAGTCAGGTCGTCGACCGTCCCTTTTCACTGGGCATCTTAGCACGGCGAGCTCTCAGCCGCCTAATCCCGAAACCGTTTCGCAGGTGTCACATGAGTCGCCCGACTCTGAATCAGACTACCAGCAGCAACAACAACCGCCAGCCAACTCTCAGTCTGTACAGGATTCACCCGCCGTGAGCTACGTACAGCAGGAACTTCAGAGCTCACAGAACCAGCAGCAAACATCAGTGGGGACAGGACAGACCCAGAATATGGCACCGCTACCTGGAGGGTCTGGGCAGAGCCGTAGATCGGGGGATAACGAAAAACAGATGCGCTCCGTTGAGCCTCCCCCAGGACCACCACCTGGCTATAGACATAGCCAGGGGCCCATAAATGCGATGAACCCTCTCCCGCCTACGCCAAGCATCTCTGGTGCTCCACAAAATTACCGTACCAGCAGCGTGCAAGAGCAAGGACAGTATGATAGGGCTGCTCCCGAAGGCGGTCGAAATAGTCCTCAACCATCGACGAATGCCGAGCGGGAGGCTGACCCAGAGAAGCAATTCAAAGACTTATGTAAGAGATGCATTGATAATCTGTGGAACGAATTGCTGACATCATATACTAGTAACCAAATATAAGAACGTCAAGAGGCTATATTTCGATGGCAAGTCTCAAATCGAACAGTTAACTTCCCAGGTTGAACAGCTGCAGAACGCAGTTGCTAACCAGAGAATGTCTCAATCACGGACGTCTCTCGATGATAATGAGTATTCTACGCGGTTCAATCGACTGAACGGCGCGATAAACAATTTGTCATTTAACATTCGTAAGGATTGGCGAACATTACCCAGCTGGATCGAGAGATACGTCAGCCCGGAAGCGATTAAGACGGGCAAGCAGGAGATGACTGCTGTTGGGCGCGCAGTAATTGTTCGGTGGATCGTGGACGAAATCTTCAACAAATGCTTCCACCCCGCCCTAGACGTCCACCTTAGTTCCCAGCTCAAGCAAATAGAGCATAATATCCGCAGGTTTTCGTATACGCTAAGCAGCCAGGAGGAATACGAGGCATTGACAGCAAAGGTCGTGAATTGGCGAATGGCTACTTTAGAGGGTCTCCAACATCAGCTTCAGGCGCCTGAGGGTAATGACTATAAAGCAGATTTTACTAAAATGGCCACCGGAAACCTCACGGCAACATTGTTTCAATATCTGACGGACCCGCCACCCGCCGGTGTAGATGGAAGCGCGTCGATGATCGTCGAGTTGGTAGTGGGTATTGCGAGCCATCTGCCCATGGAAAGCCGAGACGTCGCAATCACATATCCACTACCCGGAGACCCCATACAACCCGACTTCATGGAACCAGAGAAAACTGGATTACCTCCGTTACCAGAGCCGGTGGATGACATAGAGGAAAGCAACGACAAGGACAGCGAAAAGACCGCTGCGGCCAAACGAGAAAAGACAAAAAGTGGTATGTTGAATATGCTCAGCGGGACACCGTATCCCGGGAGCAGGAAAGGCAGCACGGCTTCGGTTATTACTGACACGACATCATCGGCAGCAGCAGCGGCGGCACAGCAGCAACAGCAGCAAGTACCCTCCAAAGACCCTAGCAAGGTTCGGTTCGCAGGCTTCGTGGCGGTCGAAGTTAGAGGACGACAGGTATTGGTTAAAGCTCCCGTGTGGACCCTAGGTTGATGAAATTCCCTTGTATAGAAGGAGAAACATCGGATCCGTGGTCGAGGACTAAGATACCAGTAATTACTTTTTCCCTTTCCCAATCTCAAAAAGGGTTGACGCGGCATAACATATAATCCCTGAGGACGGTGGTAGTAAGTAGGAAGGTTAGAGGTCGTGGTGGGAAGGTGGTTTGAAATTCGCAGTTGATACCCCATCTCCTTTGCTTGGATGGGTGGATCGATTGCGTAGGGATATCGGGTGCAACTATGACGGATGTGTGCTACCTACGGAGCGAAAGATGCTTGCTCAGCTAGTCGAGTTCATATGAATATATATACTTCAAGGTTTTCGCTCCCCCACTTGTTAGTAATTAGTATTTCATCATCACTATTTAGGTACATTATCTACCTAGGTATATAACCTTGATACACAGATAGATACTACATAGTCAGCACGGAATTTAAGGGTAGGTAGGCCTGAGCCGAAACACGTTGTAAGTAATGAATTTATTACTGTCAAAATACAAATAAGCAAAGCTAGCCACGAGCAATCCCTAACTACAAATCCTCACGACCTAATGTCCCTAGTAAAAACTCCCCTCTCGCCCGGGCGCCATGCATGCCATCACTTCCTGAAGGGCGGGGACTTGACCAGCCTTCATAGCTCCAGGCTTACTTGGTTGATGTCTTGGGAGGAATAACCTTCCAAATTATCTTGTCTCTCACTCTCTCCGGCTCCAATCTCTGCGGGAAAAAAAAACATCTTTTTTGTTGCGTGAGCATCCAGGCATGCTGAAAAAACAAAAACAAAAACAAAGTAACAGTCAATCGTTGTGATTAATTAGACCTGTACAAGGAACCAGAATTATGAAACAAAAAGAATCCTGTACTTCCGGAGCCAGAACGAGAAATTTGTGTGGGATGTGTGTGATAGTAAGCCAAACTAGTCGCGGTGTGTCCGTCAAAAGAACCAAGTGGACGATGGAACAAAACCGGAGTTATGGCAAAATGGCAAGATAGAAGCGCGAACTCAGTAGCGTATTGATCATCATGAATTCATTTGTATGCAGGTCAACAGATCATATCGGGCATAATGTTGTCGTTTCTTCGTGTGTTCTGTCGCGAGATATCAATCATGAGAGCTTGGCAGAGCTATCTGAGACTTAGACGATCATGCTCTTAGTCCTCGAATGAACTCGTCTGGTCTCGGCGCGCTTTCGAAGCATCTCTTCTCGCTTAAGAACGAGTTCACACCACTTTCTGCGGGAACTGGGAGCGTTGGTGTTGTCCTCCTCTTCTCCAGTGCGACCGATGACATCGCCCAGGACCTTCATCCAGCCTTGCTTGTCTTCGCGGGTGTCGGCGTAGAAATCGATAATCTCGCCGTTATTAAAGCGGATACGGAAACCCTCTTCGACAAACATGTAGCCCTCTTCCTCTTCTGCGAAGGCAGAGCGACGTCTTTTGCCGCCACGACCCGTGGTCTCGGGGTCAGTCAGCTGCCGTCGATCGTCAATGAGTCGCTTGGCATTGGAGAGGTTGATTGTGGCACGAGGTTGACGAGTTGTTTCGTGATAAGCGGTAAGCTTAGTACCAACAAGTTTAAAGTAGCGGCGACGCCAATACTATTGATCCATCAGGTTAGTTACTCGAATATTTCCAGGCTGTGTGTTCAAAGTGACACTTACGGGGCAATCTCCTCCTTGCTGACTTAGGTGGCCCTCCCAGTTCCTAGACAGTCTCTCCTCAGCTGCCTTCAACTCGCGGATGCACATATTCATGCTCTTTGGCATGTCATCATTCGTCGATCCTTTAGGTCGCGGCACGAAGAGAAGTTGCACTTCCAATTTGCCGATCTTGTAGGGTGCGCGACGCACAACCGAGTTGCTAGGAACTCCAGAGCGCTTGCTCTTGACGCTGTTGGCAAAGTTAGGCTCCTCGGTAGCCCATTCGTTGAAAGTCGCAATCTCTGCCATATAAGGTCGTCCATAGCAGCGGGATTCGTGCTCCTTAAGGCAGACGTATGCGCGTGCGAAGGTTCCATCCTCTGCCGCAAGAGGAGATAGTAGGTCCCACGCCGTGGGTACAACATTCCTCTGCTTCGTAGCAGCGTCGCGCTGGGCCTGAGCGTAGGCTTCCTCTTCGGCACGTTGACGAGCTTCCATCTCCTTTCGCTTCTTGGGGCTAGCGAAGACACGAGAAAAGGTAGATGGCTTGGGTTTTAGAGCCTTGGTTGGCGCGACTGTTACGCGCTCAGGCGGAGGCTTCTCCAACTTCACGTTGAGGGTAAGTTGGAATTCCAACTCGTTGGGAACAACAAGTTCAAACTCCTGGCCGATCGGAGCGTTACGAGCCAGCTCTAGCCAGGATGTGGTCACACAGTGTACTCCGTTGTCGAGAGTGAGGCTAAACCATGTTCGCTCATCTTGCAGAAGGTTAGTACTTAGGTAGGAAAACATTTGAGTATCAATATCAGGAAAAACTTACTCTTGGGCAAGGGAAGGTCAAGATCTTTCACGCCCATCACCTTGACAAACAATCTGCCTCGCTCGCCACATTCTTCCGTCGCTAGCTCGTGGCTATCTTCCTCGGGTAACGAATTCATCGCTATCGAATTGCTTTCATGACCTGGCAGAGGTGGCACTTGACCGCCGATACTTGGTGCGTGTCTCTTCTTGATACTTTTCCTGTGCTTACCATTCCAAGGTTCAACAGTCCACGACTGAGGGCGTTGCTGCTTAATTGGAGAATTTCCGGCAGAACGGGTACCAGGTCGAGCTTCTTCGGTTTCTTTGTCGCTCGCAGTAACGAGTTTTGTATTTTGGCGCATAAGGTAACCTCGCTGTCGTGGAAATTCAATGTTAGTTTCAATTGTTTCAAGGTACGAATTAACTTTATTGGTGTTTTGAGAATCGGAGCCTGACGCTTGTCTTTTTGGCTCGTTGATTGCAGTAAGGGGGTGGTGGGCGTGGGGAAGGAATTGGTTATTGACCTTTTGTGCCTCAATGACCCGCTCAAAGTCCTGATCAAGACTAAGGCCCAAGTCGAGATCTAGAGTTAAACTACGCTGCTTAAAGCTTGGGTGTCGCTCGATAAAATCATCACCAGTGGGGACCTCCAGAGTATCAGGTGCTAAATCTCGAGAAAGACGGTTACGGTGCCGGTCAGGAATTGGCGGGACCACAGGTGCTACTTCTCGGCTTACTTGTCGGCGAGCTTCACGCATGGTCATAATGTCGGACGGGGTGGCAGAAGCGCGAGTCTTCAGCTTAGAGCCTGAAGAAGATTTAATGGTGGCTTCCCGCTCAGGAATGGCAGGCGACTCGATTAAAAATTCCTCGATCTCTTTAGCTTCTTCGACTTCTTCGACTTCTTCGGCTTCTCTGACTTCAACTTCCTCAAGCTCTTCAACCTCCTCAACCTCCTCAATTTCATCTTCATACTCCTCCTCCTCCTCGTCATCATCAGATATAGGATGGTGGATAACGGATTCGGGAGTACCTGGCTCCTCTGATTCATACTCATCCTCCTCAGGATCTCCCCATCCAGAACCGTCATATACAGGTTTCGATATAGGCCTTTCCGGGGTCTTCGACCGTTGCAAGTAAGAGTCCGCATCCGACACTTTGTGACTCTCCGAGTGCGTGAGAGCACCTGCTTCCTTAGGCTTCGGAAGCATATGGGACTGCAAGCTACGGGTGAATTCTACGTCCTTAGACGAACTTGTTATCTGGGGAAGGGTAGCGCTGAAGTTTGTAATGGCACCCTCAGGAGCTGGGCTCGCCGCTCGAGGAGTTGTGACTGACTCTTCTTCAGGCTGTGCATCCACAGACTGGGGTCTCTCAACTTCGTCGGAGTATTGACTCTCCGTATCATCATCGTCGTGGTCATCGTGGCCACTGTGATCATCATGATCATCACTGTCGTCCTGGTCATCCTGGTCATCCTTTTGCGACACTGTATCTTCATCTTCAGACCGTTGGTATAGGTCATAGACGTCACCTTTATCATCTTCGCTCTCATGGTGAACCACACTGTCTTCATTCGACTCCTCACCATCATCAAGAATCGAGTCTTCGATACTAGCGATGGGGACATCAGGGTCATAAGGAGCGTCGCTAGTGAGGCCCGGTTCAGGGCCCGGCGACAAAAATGTGAATTCAGATTCTTGGTCAAGTGTCCTATTGCCATTAACACGACGCAGTATGGATTGCCGAGAAATGCTCGGAAGCTGATAATCCATATCTAGTCCGGATAGATCACCAACGGTATCGTCCTCCTCATTGCCTTCATCATCTCGGTCTTCATGATCCTCATGATCATCATGGTCTTCATGATGGTCAGGAGTGGGGCTTGTAACCCTATCACGAGCTCCAGCTCGTCGCATGCGACGTTCTCGTTGTTGTTCGGCAAAAGTCTTTGCAGAGCTGTCAGACTTAGGACTTGTCTCGTCCAGCATCATAAGCTTAAGTCGCTCTTCCAAAGACATACTACCATTGCCAATATTGTGTATGTCAGACTTGCTTATTGAAGCAGGAGGTGGCGAAGGCAGACTTCGAGGAGAGCCTAACATACGTTCTGCGGTAGCAGATAGTCCATTTGAAGATGCAGACTGGGAGCGAGCATGACCCATTCCCGGTAGAGGAGGTAGAGGTCGATGCTCATTGCTAGATGTTGATGAATCTGTACGGGAGTGCTGTGATTGTGGAGACATGGCTTGTGACAATGCACCCTCAGGCATAGGACTGCTATCAAAGCGCGTGTCCCGATCTTGACGCCAATCATCAGGCCCGACAACTGGAGTCTTATCTGTGTCTTCTAGCGTCGCATCAAAACTATCATCCTGTGCATCCATCTCACCCCCAGGATAATGGCCATAGATATAGTCATCATCATCGTCCTCATCATCCTCATAGCTACCTTCTCGCGAGTTTGTGCCAACAGAAGACATATCAGGGGTTGCCATTTCGTACTCATTAATCTGAGGTGGGGCAGCATCGAAGGTAACAGACTTGGCGTGGCGGTGGAGTGACCTGCCACTTGGGAGTTCATGGTCTTCGAATGACATGTCCGAGAAAACATCACTATGTAAATCCTGACTGCTCTTAAGGCGGGCTGAAGAAAGTGATGATTTAGTCGGAGATGCCTGGTCTTTGCTTGGGCTGGGGGGTTGAGAGCCAGTAGGAGCGGGAGATGAGCGAGAACCAGTCTTTGTAGGGGTATATAGAGATATACTGGTCTGGCTATCTGAGCGGCCATGGCTTGATCGAAAGTTATTTGCGAAAGCATTACCTTGGACCTTAGCAAGAGGGCGCTCGATTGTTGGTATACGCATCGGGTCGTACTCTTGCTTCTGTTCTCGAGCGAACATGGTGCTATTTTTTACACGCGACGCCTTCTGCAGTCGCTCGATAGAAGAACGCCTAGTGGGCGACGGGGAACCAGCGCGACCCCCATACAACTCGTTTTCGATGCGATTATTGACATTACGATTCTGCCAAAACAGGCGCGGTGAAGTCGTACCGTCCAGAGGTGATGACTGGAATGGAGATGAATCGGTATTAAGACCCATCTTCTAACGCCACGAGGGTTAGTAGAGTCAAATTGAATTTGAGTTGAATCTAGAATAGAATTACCTTTGGTGAAGGGTTCCAGCTTGGTGAGTTTCGTCGTTGTTCAGTGGCTGAGATCTCAGACAACGGACGTGGAATGCTACTCTTAATTGGCGATGTAGATGGAGTGCTGTTCTTAGCAATACGCAAAGGCTGCGTTACCTATTTATTAACGGTTAATTTCCCGTCATCTATTGTTTTGACTTTATCATTCTTTACTTACAGGTTGGCCATCAGAGGCCATACTGAAAGGAAAACTTGCAAATTATCTTGTGATTATTGGTAATTCATGTCTCCCAATGGAGAAATAAAAAAACGATTTACAAGATGTATGAGATGTATGTGTTAAAGTTTCGTGGCGGTGCGATGCAGTGCGGTGCTGTGTGGTGCAGAATATGCGGCCTACGATGATGCACAATTCGAGAATGGCGTTTAAGAGTTGTTTTGGCAACCTCAAAGTTATAGGGTTGCTAGGTTGACACACCAAAAACCAAGCACCAATCGGTGACAGCTGTAATGTTTACAAGCGGCTGAAAGTAGGTAACTCCGAAAAAGGCTGAGGACGGTCTGCTAAAAAGGTAAGAAATAGTATAACTATCGTTAGGCGGTCAAGAAGAAGAAAACAAAGGATATAAGTCAATGGTATAATTAGGTACCAAGTAAAAGATTATCTTTCTTCTACCTTCTACCTTGTACAAAATTGAGAAGAGAACAAAATGTTGTGATGATAATAACAGTGACCGAGGTTCTTGATCACAGGTTGCAGGAGGTTATTTGGATGGCGGGCGGAGGTAAACAGACATGGGAGAGTGGCTTGGTGGGGAGTGGGGGATAGCCAGCCAACCGCTATCGCCCCACCAAAATATACACCAAATATACAAGTTCCCGCCGCTAAATCTAAGAAATCACCGCTGTTCTGTCCAGGCTTTTTCCGTTGCTGTTGCCCCGCCAACACGATAACTCACGAGCCGCTAACCGGTCTAGGATTATCGTTTGTCTCAAGTTGATCTTAGTTACTGGGATACGTCCATGTGCACCATTATGCACAAAATACAGTAGTATCGTAGTACGTACAGCCATGACCGACTTTCCGACTGTGTGACTTTCAAAAGATACTTTGATCTTCAAATAAATATTTCCGTATATGATTCATATAATGATTCTAATAGCCTTTTATAATATATATAGGTATATATATATGAATACTACAGCTTAGTATTTAGGTAGACTTTAATAGGCATTCAAAATTTGTATATATATGCATACCTAACATACCTAGGTTAGGTATTTATGTAACCAGTAAACAACATTAGTATATTTGTATATGCCTATGTACATACATATAGCCTTCTGCATCTCTTAGCTAAGATAGTCGAGTCCATGGATACCTGCATCAATGCATTGCATGTAGGTACACGACATAGATGTATGCAACTCCATAAGGAACATGTTGTACGATTGAAAAAAAAAAAAAAAAAAGATTCAAATTTGCATGTGCATATGACATTTATCTATATAGCTCGTATTTGAATACCTCATGTTTGGTTGAGGCTATGAGTTTAATTTTACCCAAGAATAGGAACCCAAGAACCCAGGAACTCAAGAATAGGAGATAGGAGAAGACAGATCTGTACTACCAAACGCATCAGGGGCAAAATACATCACTTTTGAACAACAACAAAAAAAAAAAAAAAAAAACTAGCTGCAGATGGTAGACCGCTAGATAAGCAAGATCGGAAAAAAAGGAAGTTTTATTTAATTTTCTTCCCGTAAAGACTGGTTGGTATCAGATGCACCCGCAAAGACGCCGTATAACACAATATAAAAGAAGACAATTATTATCATACATTAATTAACCATTATTTCTATTCCTCTTCCTCGACCACCTGCTTCTGAGCAATGTAAAAGCGGTCGCCACCCTTTTCATCCCTCTCATGCTCTAGCGCAACCTTACTTAGATGTGTAAGGATATTCTCCATCATCGTATCCTGCGCCGATCTCTTCTTTCGGCCTAGGTCGTTGAGACTCTGCATACGAGTCATCATCTGGTAGATGATAGCAATGACAATGACGCATGCAATTGAGTATATCCAGACAACAACGATAGTTAAGATATCCACAGAGCCATTCTCAGACAGCTTAGAAGAGAGCGACATTGGGCTGGAGGGTTCACCCTGACCGCCCGAGAACCAGCCGTAACCAGCGAAGAGAGACGCAAGGATATCGACTCCGAAAATTGCGCTGACTAGTTGCCACGAAGGATATGTCTCGAAGCCACGTGTGACGAAGATAAGCCAGTTCTCCGTAAGCGATACCTGGAGGAAGATGATCTCTTGTACGCCGCCGTATTCCTGGATAACGCCACCGGGGAGCCAGAGCGTGCCGCGGAGGATCCAGGTACCGAGAGCAAGTAGAGCGCCGAGGACAACACTTATTATCCAGATCTTAGGTAGTTGCCATTCCACGGGTCGCTTTTCGTAGTGCGCAGTATCGTAAGCAACAGCAATCGTAGCTAAATCAGCGAATAAAGCCAAGAAGACAATCAGGTCCGCACGAATAGTCTCATTGATGATAATCATAGTGGTAACCAAATAGATCTCAAGATGCAAGCAGAGGGCAATACGGTATTGGATGTAAGCCTTCATGCGCTGGAAAATTTGTCGGGAGATCTTGATAGCTGATACGATGGTGCTGAGACCTGGCGCAAGGAATACGATGTCAGCAGCGGCCTGGGCAGCCTCGGTAGCGCCTTCGACGGCGATACCACAATCCGATTTCTTTAATGACGGGGCGTCGTTGACACCATCACCAGTCATAGCCGTCAAGTGACCTCGTTGCTGAAGCATTTCAACTACCTGGTATTTGTGTTCAGGGAATACCTCAGCAAAGCCATCAGCCCTCTCGCAAAGGTCGTGGATCGCAGTACCAGCCATACCACTGTGTAGTAGCTTGTCAGAGTTGTAGACTTTCGTGCCTAGAGCAAGCATGCGGCAAGTCTCCTTAGCAATAGCAATGGCGTCACCAGTAAGCATCTTAACGGAGAGACCAAGAGCCTGAGCCTCGGCGATAGTTTGGGCAGTATCGGAACGGGGAGGGTCGAAAAGAGAGATCATGCCGAGCATTTCCCATGGGCCATCTTCCTCCTGGACAGCAACGGCAAGAGAACGGAAGCCACGGCGAGCAAATTCAGTAGCCTTTTCCTTAAAAAGGGCAGTTTGCGCTTCGCTGCAGCTCGTCAATGCTAAAACGCTCTTAGGCGCACCTTTGGCGCATGTATACCGAACACCTGTTGCGTGTCAAGGGTTAGAGGAAATTCAAAATATGAAAGATGGGATGGATTTAAAAAGAAACTAACCTTTGTGAGTGCATATAGCAGTAATTCGCTTAGAGACAGGGTCAAAGGGGGTAAACTTCTCAGTCTTCCAGCCCTCACTAATCATCTCCTTCGCCTTAGGGTAACGGTTGAGAGTAAGGATAGTGATTTTGTCGATAGGGTCGAGGGCTTTAATGTTGTGAGACGATGCCAAAGCGGCGACAGCCATCATCCAGTTGATGTCAACACCTTCCATAACAAAAGGTTCTCGGACGGAAAGCTGATTGGCCGTTAGAGTACCAGTCTTATCAGAGCAGAGAATGTCGACACCAGCGAGCGACTCAATAGCTGTCAGCTTTTGTACGATAGCCTTTTCCTTAGCAAGATATGCGGCACCAACAGCTAAGGTAGTGGTGGTAACGACGGGTAAACCAACGGGGACACCGATGATTAGTAGAATTAGCGCGTAGGTCAACAGGTTGTTTGAGCTTTCCTCTGGGGAGACGATATGGAGGTTGCGATAGAATCCACCAATCCAGGCAGTGAGAATCCAGAAGACGACCAAAACGAGCAGAGTAGTACCGATAGAGTCCATGATAGCCTTGAAGTGACCAGAGTCCTTAGCTCCTTGAACAAGACTAGCAGTCTTTCCCACGAACGAAGCTTGTGCGCCAGAGGTGACCACGGCGTACGCCTTGCCACGCTTGCAACCAGTAGTGTAGTAAACAGTGTCGGTCATGTACTTTTCAACAGCAAGAGATTCTCCGGTCATAGCACTCTGGTCGACAGCAACAATCGCGTGACCCACATGGGGAGTTCCCTCCTCATCAGCTTCTTCTTCAAATTTCTCCCGACGCGGCGATGTGACATCTTGAGCTGAAAGCTCCGCTTGGTACTGAGCCTGTCCGTTGGGATTGTCGTATTCGCAGATAAGACGAGCGTCACCCGCAACGACACAGCCTTCTTCAACGATAATCTAATACAATTAGCTTCTATGTTGAACTCATGAGAGGATCGTGAAAAAAGAACTTACGACGTCACCTGGTACTAGCTCCCTGGCCTTGATCTCCTTCTCCTGGCCGTCACGGACGACATGTGCCTTCATAGCAATATCTCCTTTCAGACTAGCGACAACGTCGGCAGCCTGCTTTTCTTGGTACCAACCAACGATAGCGTTCAGTAGCAGAATACCAATAATGATACCGCCATCGAGCCAGTCCTCCATAGCCAGAGCAATGATAACGGCAACTTCCATCACTATCGGATTTGTCAGTTGATGAACATGTATGGGCAGTTAGCAACGCAGCACGAACCATATAGGACAGGACCACGAAAGAAACCGATGAACTTGATCAACATGTTCTCCTTCTCGGCTGACAACTCATTCCACCCAGAATATTTCCGTCTCCGTTCGACTTCCATCGACGAGAGACCCTCTCTGATGTCTGTGTTCAACCAGTCACCCGGCGTCTCAAAGTCACTCAGAGACGCACGAGCATAGCCGCTCTTGCCACCCCTCCAAAATGCCCACCATGGCCTCTTCTGGTCTTGTTCGGAGAAATCTTCCTCCCCCGTTTCCGCACGTGGATCTCTGTACGTGTCGACATAACGAACCAAACTGATAAATAAGTTAGTCGATAACTAGCAAATACATTTCAACTGCAGAGTTACTCACGCTCTGTACTCGTCCAAGTACGGGTTGTCGCCGTGGTTGTTATTGTCGATCGTGTTATTCCTTTGAGCTTCAGTTAAGAAGCTACCCGCCTCTAGGTCTTGTTCGGTTGACGACCCATCGAGTGTAGAGTCGATAAGGCTAGAGGGAGCTACCTCCTTCTGGTGGCTGAACACCTTAATCTTCTTGAAATTGGGTGCCATTATGACCCTTTGTACAGCCCAGCTGTATTGAAGAGAATAAATAAAAAGAAGGGGGAAGGAAAAAGAGATATGCGGAAGGCGAGGGAGGGAAGAGAGGATGGAAGTGGCGAGAGTGACAGACCAATTCAAAAGTCCATTCCGAAGAGTTGAGGATGAGTCTCTACTTATACAACTCCCCAACGGGCGGAAAGGAAAACGGCACCGGCGACCATAGCGAAACTCTTGGCTACATAGTAGTTAACTCTGAAGCAGCCCCGGGAGACACCATTTTGCAAGGAAGATGATCCACAAACAAGCTATGGAAATAGCAGAGTTGCCTTATTTAGCCCGAGGCGGCAATCTGAAGCTTGTCATGAAAGTAGCTACTAAGATTTCCATCCACAACGAAGCTTTGATATCAGATGAATTGGCCTATCATAAGCCGAGTAAGTGTTGTATTAGCGGTAGGGGTCTCTCTGACAAAAAGGCCCGTGATATAATGTCGATCCGTTTCGAGTCGACGTTTACGGCTACCTCGATATAATTCGACGGTAACATTTAGCCAAGATACGGCCAAATACCGCGGCTACGAAAATGCCTCACCGGGTGCGGTTCGTTAGTGATCGATCTCATACGCGAGTCTGGGGGTTATCGTAGAGACGTACGCACGGTAGTCCCTTGCCACAGTTTCAGCACTGACCAGAGATGAAACCGCCGCTCGATGGACTTGGAAGTGCAGCACGTGATGAATTATACCAACCATATATTGATCTATTATCCTAGCGTTGAGCAAACAAACAATAATGTGTTTGAAACAGAAACAGATCAGTTGCCAAGATGTCGGGGTATCTTCTCAAGGAGCTCCCGTCTCGGTTCTCCAGAAGATACCGGTGCCAAGAAGAGTCCTATCAGAGATCATCGCTTCTGGAAATAGCTAAGACATGACAGAAACAATATGAAGAGATATAGTTTAGGTAGTTTCTATTAATAACTTGCGCTTAGCATTTATTGTAAGTCAGTTTCGTCGTCGTAACTCTTTGTACATAATATGTCTAGGTATGTTGATTGATGAGGCGAAGAGGTCGATATCCATCAAATCTTAAGTTATCAAAATATCAACTACATAGTAGGCGAGATATGATGAAGCCTCGAAGCTTAAAGTTAGTGTTAAGACTCTCTCGGAGATGAATCTTAACGTCATCTCTAGTTATGGGCCTTCTCAACAACAAGCAACAAGGGATTGGCTATAATAACGGGGATGATCTAGTCAATCGCACCTATGTAGTATTATGCAGATCTTATCGAAATCCTTGAAACCCCACGGGAAAAGAAGCCTCACATCGTTTAGCTCGCCTAGGGTTGCGATAAGATGTCTAATTGACAAGAGATTGCTGTGGCACCCTCATTCAAGCCTGGTTACTCGAGACTGGGGTTCCAATACATAGGATTGCTACAGTGTGCGCAATCGATAGTATACCATATCATATCATATCAACCTAACCTTATGGCGATAGTAATTCGTACCCGGAGCAAAATGTCCACTTCGTAACTTCGTAGATTGGCAAATTATTATACTGAACCGATGAAACTTGAAACCATCAAATGGCTAGTTAGTTAGTTATTTGTTCTGTAGCAAGTATTACTACCCGCTAGCGTACGGATAGTGTGCCATATGTAAGAGAGTTGAAAGGCACAGATGAAAGTTACACCAGTTATATTGAAGTCGAGGTCGTAGGGGTTCTCTTGGCCAAAACTCTTGGCTTTAGTGGTGCGGCGACCACGGTGTTGACCAATTGGAACAAACTTAATGAGCCAGCCGGTGCCAAGAACGTCGACAGCCTCAGCGACAAAAGCTTGGTTCGTCTGTCTACTAGTCGACTTCAGAAATGTGTGAATTAGGGATGAAATTCTTCGAATTGACTTGCGGGGGGTTTGGAGAGGGCGTGTGGACTTTGCGCATTCATCCAATAATAACAGATTATTTACCCTGTCTGCCTGTACCCCTACATATGTACCTATGTACCTAATGTAGCAATCCAATTTCAACTGCCGGAGAATGATTACGCAGTACGCAATATTACACTCCGTATTGGTAAAAGGGGAAGGGTTTTGCTAAGGACAGCGATTGAAATGAACCACAAGTACGGATGGGATGTCCCTTTGAAAAGTTTTTACCATATGGAACCCCTGTCAAGATTGTCGCCAGCTGTTTGATACTTGGTCGGCAACTGTCGGGTGATTTAAAGATGTATACATTACTATCCCGTAGGTTTACTATAGGTAGGTTTTACAGCCAAATATAATTTTAAAATAAAAAAGCTATCGAAAAAAATTCTTTCATATAATGTAACTACGTTTTTAAAAAGTCATAGAATTTACTTTAACAAAACTATATCCTATTGAAATAATACCTGTTAAAGTAAAATAAGATATACATGTTAAATAAGTAAGTAATTGTTGCCAAGCTTGGTCGAAGCTTTACCGGGGGGGGGGGGAGAGTGCCCATCTTCCTATGGTAAAAACTTTTGAAAGGGACCTCCGTACGAAGTACGGATTCGTATTAATGTACCTAACTGACTTAGGTACCTAAAAGCTCCATGGCTTTTTATGTAAGCACAATAACGCTAGATAGGTACTTTAGTACTCCCATAAGAGCCCAAGGTAAAATAGTTGTTCCAAGTTCCGCAATTAATGATAAGATAAGGAATTATTTTTCTAAGCCCACTTAGACTATCTATCTACTCTATTGAAGACTCTATTGAAGTGGATAGGCTATCATTGCAAATATCAACCATTCCAACTTCAATTTTTTTTATTTGCTACCGTGAATCCAACATCATGAAGCGCAAGTTAGACGAGAATGATGCGCCGGTCTCAACCGCCAATGCTGAAACCCCGAGCGCCGGCATAACCGCCACATTCGCAGATTTCGGCCTCGACAGCAGACTCCTTCAAGCCACAGCCCGCCAAAACTGGCATACACCAACCTTGGTTCAAAGCAAGGCCATACCGCTGGCTATCGATGGTTGTGATGTGCTGGCAAAGGCTAAGACAGGTTCGGGGAAGACTGCCGCTTATACCCTACCCATTCTCCAAGCAATCCTCAAGCGCAAACAGGTATGAACATAGCATGACCTACTTCAGATCAGATCAGATCAGATCAGACATGACAGGGTAGGACTAATTCCAGGCCAGACCTCACCAGATTCCTATACGGCCGCTCTTATCCTAGTCCCAACAAACGAACTAGTAACACAAGTCGCCAAAGTACTCGAATCTCTCACTTCGTATTGCTCTAGAGAGATCAAGGTCTCCAAGCTCTCCGATAAACTTTCCGATGCTGCCCAGCGCGCCGTCCTCTCAGATTCGGCTGATATAGTGGTTGCGACACCCGCAAGAACATGGCACAATATCAAAAATTCCGCTCTGTCTGTGGAGAAACTTACACACTTAGTCTTAGACGAGGCAGACCTTGTATTATCATACGGTTACGATGAAGACCTACAAAATGTCGCCGCTTCGCTACCAAAGGGTTTGCAGACAACTCTGATGAGTGCGACGCTCACGCCAGAAGTTGACACCCTAAAGGGACTTTTCTGTCGAAACCCGACAGTTCTGGATCTAGTTGAGCCTGATGAAGATGGAGGTGGTGTTTCGCAATTTGTTGTCAAGTATGACTGCGCATCTCTTGTTTTGAATAGTAATGCTAACGGATGTATAGGTGCGGTGAGGACGAAAAATTCCTCCTTATTTATTGCATGGTAAAGCTAGAATTAGTTAAAGGCAAGGCAATTATATTTGTCAGCGATGTTGACCGATGCTATCGACTCAAATTGTTCTTTGAGCAATTCGGAATACGGAGTTGTCTCTTGAACTCTGAGTTACCAGTCAATTGTCGAATCCATGCTGTCGAGGAGTTTAACAGGGGAGTTTACAACATTATTATTGCCTCGGACGAAAACGAGGTGGTAGGCGAGGAAAAGGACCAACTTGAATCGACCAGTGAGGAGGCTTCTAGTAATGTTCGTGGAGATGTCACCAGTGAGATGCCGGAAAACAGTGAACAAATTAAGGCCATTGTTCCTACTTCTAAGAAACGCAAATCTTCACGACGCGATAAAAATTACGGAATATCTCGAGGAATCGATTTCAAGAATGTTGCTGTCGTCATAAATTTCGATCTGCCACTATCATCTCGCTCTTATCTACACAGGATAGGGCGGACTGCGCGCGCGGGGCAAACGGGCATGGCATTATCCTTTGTTGTCCCCAAAGATAAATTTCGAAAGCACATGCCTACCAGCATTGAGACAGCAGAAAATGACGAGAAGGTGTTATCTAGGATTGTCAAGCAGCAGGCTAAGAAAGGTCAGGAAGTCAAACCTTATAATTTTGACATGAAGGCCGTAGAGGCATTCCGCTACCGAATGAATGATGCTCTAAGAGCCGTCACAAAAGTAGCTATTAGGGAAGCGCGGCTACGAGAGCTCAAGCAAGAGTTACTCAAGAGCGAAAGTTTGAAGCGCCACTTCGAGGAGAATCCTTTGGAAGTACGTCATCTTCGTCATGACGTTGAACTTCGTACAACAAGAAGCCAGCCCCATCTCAAACATGTCCCTGACTACCTATTGCCAAAGGATGGGAAGAAGGCAATCACCCCTAACGAGGTTGGATTTGTACCATTCAAGAAGGTGCTTGATGGGAAGGGAAGGAAAAGCCGAGTTTCAAAAGGTAGGGGTAGGCGGATAACTGGTCGTAAGAGTGATCCTTTGAGATCATTTAAGGCAAGATCCAAGACCAAGTAGGTACTTATGTACCTAGGTAATCAGGCTGTTTTGTTCCTTCTTAGCTAGAAGTAGTCTCATACTCATAGATACCCACAACCCTCATAATCTAGCAATAGCGACTAATCGTGCCTCCCCTGTGAACATCCTTCCCAGCTCGTGACTTCACATACCTGCTCGTCTGACAAGTTGTCATATCCAATATTACAAACCACCCGATAGCCTCCAGCTCAAGCTAGGTAACCACGAGTTAATGCGACCCATGCTCCCTAAACGCGCATTCAAGTTTAACTACCTTTGAGGTAGGTACATTACATAAAGTATGTAGAGCAGTGCCTTCTGATATATAAGGTGGCTACTTCGGCCCACCATCCAACCTAACACTACCATATTTTCAGATATTTTCAGCCCACTATTTAACTTAACACTTCTATATCTCAGCCCAGTACAAATATCAGTTATGAACAACAATATTGCAAACATCCGAGAAGGACAAGCTAGCATCAGTCGTCGTATGCTGGTACTAGAAAATGCCAACACACGTATGAAAAACAAGGAACGATTTGGGCTTAACCGGAGATCAATTCTTGGTTCGAATCTCTCTGTGGTAAACTAAAATGGTCCGACTCAGGTTTTTCCTTGGGCACTACCGAGCGTCGAGGGTAGTTATATCTCTGTTATAAGAAGGCGTGTGCGGTATATTTTCCCCTGATCAAAGTCGGCTACTTGGCGCCGGCGCTAATCAGGTAGAGTAATGCTATAGGCATGTAGGGGCTGGGGATAGAAAGCTGAGGGTCTCTCATGTTAGGCGACATTCTAGCTTTGTTTTTTTCGAAGGAGGTACTCTAGACGTCTAAAAGCAGTATGCATGCGCTCGTTGTAGCTACATAGCTTATAGCCATTAATGGAAGTAAGCGTTGTCTTCATCATCTTCATTAGCTACCGGAGAGTTAATCCACAGCCCCCCCCCCCCCCCCCCCCCCCCCCCCCCCGACGTGTTCTCACGATCCAACGTTTATTCATAACAAACATAATACAGATATATCAAAAGCTTTAGAAGTGCCTATACTAGTCGTAGAATTGCCGTTCTCGATCAATATATCTACCCAGTCGAGTTGAACAATGCCACCGCACCAGAGAGCGACCTACGATAGGTCAATGCAGAAGCTTACCATCGTCGCAGAGTTGCAAAACAGGATACCTATTCGTTTTGATCATCATCAGCGATCAAGCATACTTCCCGAGGCCAAAAAAAGTGACAAGGCTGCTGCTAATGCCCCTTCCGTTACGAATGTTCTTATCGCTACTCCAGCTATCACAAATCCAGTCGTCGTTACTCCAGCTATCGCCGGTCCAGTCGTCACAGATCCGGTCATCGCAGACCAAGTCGCTGATGCAGCACCTATTACGTCGAAACGTAAAAGTGGTGACGTGTCGACAGGAGCCGAGGTAGATGAGAAAGGTTCCTATTTACACAAATGGGAATATGTATTATTCTCTAGGACCAACCAGAACGATCCCGAGAAGCTGCCTGGATCATTCGTAAATCGTGAACAAGCCAATGCTAAACTAGATGAAATAACACACCATGATAACATCGAAGGTGGTATGGCCGCCGTAACCCGGAGACTCGTCTATGTGTATAGCCCGTCTAAGTTACTCAAAGTTGAGCTCACGCGAACCAACGGCGAAGAGTGCGTTCTGTGGGTGGAGAGGCGCCTTGTGGATCTGCAGCACGACCTCACCAAGAAGGAGCGCGCACTCAAAAAGTGGTCTGCTAATAGGCCCAAACTACCTCTCTATATCGTGGAGTGCGAATTCTTCACGCGAGGGACCATAGAAACACCACAACAGGTATCCGAAGAGAGTGATGGCTCCATTCCCGTCATGCCTCACGAGCAAGTAGGCATTCTTAATGATGAAATCGAACGATATCGCCTACCACTAGCCATATTCACGGAGAGAGGGCTGGCCAACGAGCACGCCGGCGCCATGTTCTTAGAACATTCAAGGGTCAAGGAGGAGATTCGATGGCCGGTAGATGATGATTGGTGGGCGGAACATGCGGTGGTAATTCACAGGGAAGCAGAGAAGGTAGCGAGAACCCCCGAGGCACTGTATGTTGCGGAGATGTACACACACGATATGAACACAAGGCTGGGGTTTGACATGATCAGGGTGGGGGTTGATGTGGTGGATGATGTGAACGGGCCGCTGAATATCTGATCGGGGTATATGTGTTGCGGTTGCGAGGATAGGGTCAGGGCCGGAGCTAGGGCTTAGGGAGACCTGGGATCCGGCGACGATATGCGTTGATTCCAAGTTGAATTCTTCTCGGGATCAAGAATGGGTTAATATAAATTCACGGTTTTACAGAAAATAGGGTCTGAAATTCATGAATATTGAAATAATTAAATACATCGAAAAAGGATTTCGGGATATTGCATACTTGCAGACTGCCTACCGATTTGTCCGGATGCAATGCAGTCAGAAGCCAGCAGCTATGTTGTCCAGCTAGAGAATATTAGTGAAGCCGGAGGTCCGGCGCGGGGCAGAGCGACAGCTTCCGGGAAATTTTGCCTAATATGGTAGTATGTGCCGAAGGTGGGGCCGACTGAAGTCACCAGATAGGCCGGGCTGCAAATAATATCCTAGAAGACATATCTGCCTGGTCTCTTAAAATTAAATCCAAACTTGAGTAAACTTAACCTGCATTTCAGCTTTGAAGATTGGTCAAACTTGATATGCTTCGAGTCAGCAACGCATCTTTTAGTAAAGTCAATATATTTAATCGAGCCCTACTACGAGGGTAGTTAATGCATCGTATGGCTAGCTCTTCCTATTATACAATACTACACAATACAATGTTGATACGTTTCACCCATAGACATACCGTTATTATCGATGCTGCTCCTGATGCATAGCCTTCTCGGAACTCTCGTCAGTTTTAAAATCGCAATCATTATTGCATCGTTTTGAGAAAGCCGTCTAAATCAAAGCTTTCCTCGTACTGACGGTTATCCCAGAGTTCTCCTAGGTCATCCGCCCATGCTTTCTTGCCTGGTGCTCTCACGTCTCCTGTTTCAACATCCACCATATCCTCTTCTCGTCCTTCGATAGTGCCCTGAGGCTTATCTGATATCAGGCTCGGTCCTGAATCACCTAGGCTGAAGAGGTCTAAGATTTGGTCCGTATCCATAGTTCCCTTGAGAGCAAATTAGTACCTTTTCAACGTAGTAAATGAGTAATTTTACTTACTAAGCCGGCATTCTGTTGATTCACTACGGTAGATGCCACATCTATCTTGAATGCTTGAAGGCTATATTCCAGCAATTAGTAGGTGTTAAACTAAGCGCAGATATGTGTGTACTTACCTCAGAATCTTCTCTTCCAGTGTGCCTCTTGTAATCAACCGGTAAACGTTGACAACTTTCTTCTGCCCGATTCGGTGAGCACGGTCCATGGCTTGGAGATCTCGTTGAGGATTCCAGTCATGCTCGACAAAGATGACAGTATCTGCTCCTGTAAGGTTGAGACCTAAGCCACCAACGCTGGTGGTGAGTAGTAAACAGTCGTAGGAGGGGTCCTTGTTGAATTTATTAACGATGTCCTGCCGCTTATTCGCCTCGACAGAACCGTCGAGTCGTAGATATGAAACAGAAGGAAGCATGCGCTTCAATACTGTATTCTGGACCATGTCAAGCATTTCTTTCATCTGACAGAAAATCAACGCGCGATGCGGCTTTATTGGCTGGTAGAGAGGGTCGTTCGAATCGGTACCTTCAATTCCAATACCGCAATCAACCAACAGGTCTTTGAGAGCGGTCAGCTTGGGAGCATGTACCGGGTCTTCTACGCTAGTTCCTTGTTTCGCAAGGAAGCGTTGGGTGTCGTCATAGAGTTTGTTGCTCGGCGTCATAACAAGTGCCGGAGAGTTGCATAGCTTTCGCATGTACTGCAAAGCTTGGAAGATGTGCTGCTTGGCTTCCTTGTCATCACGGCCAGCTTCCTCCGTGAGCTTCTTACTCTGTTTCTTGGTGAAGTCATCGAATAGTTTCCTTTGCAGGTCGCTAAGATCGCAGTAGTAGTTTTGGAGAATCTTGGGAGGAAGATCGTCGAGAACTTCCTCTTTCAAACGACGAAGTAAGAATGGTAGGACTTGTTTGTGTAGAGCTTCGATCGCTAGAGCTCCAGCTTCTTGTTCCTTGGAAGAAGCTTTACTGAAGCGACTAGCGGCTATGGGCTTAGCGAATCGATCTAAGAACACCTTTTCGGCTCCAAGGAATCCCGGCATTAAAAAGTCGAAGAGCGACCAGAGCTCTAGGACATTGTTCTGAATCGGTGTGCCGGTCAGGATTAATCGATGATTACTAGCGAGTCTCTTTACGGCAAGGGTGATCTTTGCTTTGGGATTTTTAATCAAGTGGCCTTCATCAAGTACAATGTAATTCCAACTCTGCTTCTCGAGATAGTCAGTATCATTACGACAAACTTCATATGAAGTAATGACGATGTCGGTCGAGGTGAACTGAGCTGCCTTGGCCCTTCTTTCGGTAGGAGGTCCAACGAAAGCGGTGACATTCAGGAAAGGCGCGAACGTCTTTACCTCCTGTTGCCAATGTCCTGAGAGTGTTGGCGGACAGACAATGAGGGACGGGAGCTTTCGCACGTCTGGAGCACTGGTCTTTTTAAACTCTTCTGCTCTGTTGTAATGATCACTTGCGACGATACAAAGCGTCTGAAGCGTCTTTCCAAGCCCCATATCATCACAGAGGATACCATGGAGGTGGTACCTATTTAGGAAATGAAGCCAATTGACACCCTCTTGTTGATACGAACGCAACTCAGCATTGATTGCTACTGGTATTTTGAACGGCTCAACTTTCTTGGGGTCAAGGAGCTGTGCGATAAACGTTCTCTCGCGGTCTCTACCCTTTAGTAGCTCTTCAGAGAGGCCAGGTGGATCAGGGATGCCAGCTTCGAGGGGTACTAGTTTCACCAACGTAGCAAAGGATGTGGTCGCGATTAGGCGGATATCGTTGTCCGAGTCGCTCATACGACCTAATACAGGCACGATGAGGAAGATGACGTAAGGGAGGATACCGTCACCCATGACGGCAATCAGGTGATAAATAGCTTCTATCGCGCCTTGACGGAACTGTAGGTCTATGGGGTTGTTAATAGAAGGCAGCACTTTCTCTACGAGGGCAGTCATGCCCTCTACAGTGATGACACTGCAGATAGTGGCCAAGCATTTCGCAGCCATGTATCGAAATATGGATAATTCTGAATGGAGTGATTTGATGACAAGTGGTACTTGCTGCATTATGAATGGGTGAAGGGCCTTGTTTAACGTCGGAGTCATAGTCCTAATAACCGACATAGCATCTACGATTTCCTGTCCGAACAGATCCTCAGGATCCTTAGCTTCAGCAGGCAGTTCGCCTGAAAATGCTTTTATCAAAGGTTCTTCCATAAAACCCCTCAAGCTCGGGACTGTAGTAAACAGATCTGCGCCGAACGTACGGGAGAGAATCTCGAGAGCTTCTTTCGCTCCCCGTCGGGTGATGCGAGCGCCTTTAGCTTCCCGGGCAAACTTAGCAGCGTCTGGCCCATGGTCAACTCTGTCTTCCTCTTTTTGCATTGATAGGATGATATTTGTCTTCGTTGCGTGAACTGGGAACTCGGGCGTTTCGGCAACCTCAACACAGGAGAATTTGACCAGATTGGAAACGACCTTATCGGCAGGGCCCCGCCGGCCTTTCTCGGTGAATAATTGGACTAGCCGGCCAATAGTGTCAGCAGAGCGAGTTTGGAGTTGCTGGTTTTCCTCCAGCTTGATGCTATCCATGATAGCCTTGATTAGAGGGCTTGGTTTCTTGGGGAGCACTTTCATTGCTATGAGAGCGCAGGCCGCTGCGGCTCTGATACGAACGTCTCGCGTGTCTTTGATAGACTTGGCGTCCTCGATCGCTTCTACCGCAGCTGCGCGAAGTTCGTTGAGTTGCTGATTAGCAATCAAGCGTTGCGCTGGTACCATAACTCTCTTTAATCTATCAAAGTCTTCGTTGATGCACTTCTCAGCCGTAGTAAGAGAAAAAGCTCCCGGGCCTGCTTCTGCCTCGCCTTGCACAACAACAGGAAGAGCTGGAAGTTTGTGTTGAGGCACTTTACCATGGTCTCTAAAGAGACTCATGAGCTGTTGGCATTGTGAACGTACTCGTTGAACATAACTCACTAGATCGCGATATTGGGAAGGTCGTTCTAAATCTATGATCTTTTGCAATTCGCCCATATATCTCGACGTCTCGGCTTGAGATGAAACGCAGTTTCGAGCGTATTCATCGATCACTATACACGCCGCAAGTTGAGTAGATGAATATGATGATGCTAATCCCGGGACGAGCGTAGCATCGTAGGATTCTAGATGCTGCGTAGGTACAAACGACATGATCAAGCCCATTGCTGCAGCAGCAGAGACACGAGAGCGGATAAGGGTGTCGATGCCGACTAGGTCTACGTCTCCTTGCATCATGTGGCCATCGAGATCGTGTGAGTGAGCAGTTGGGGGCGGATCGTCCGCCTTGGTGGACTTCTTTCGCCTCTTCGTAGCTCGCTCTCCCTCCGGCTCGGAACCCTTACGTGCAGTTGAAGGGGCGAAACCAGGTACTGAGTATGTGCCTCCGGATGGTTTAAGGAAGAGCGCACCATTCATAGGTATAGGATGTCTCGAGACTCCAACCGGATGTAGAGTAAGTTGCATCAGAGCATCAATATGTGGGGCAAACTCGTGCGCCAGCTTATCTGAATCCTTCGCTAGACATTTAACTAGAGCAGCCCATAGGTCCATGGACATGCGGAGAGTCTCTTGGTCACGTTCCACGAGCATATTTTGGAATATCAATCGGAGGATTCTTCCATCAAGCCAACCTTGGGATTCTGTGCCGAGATTGACAAACGTCATGAGAGCTTTCAAGACGGCAAGACGAACCGAGGTTATTGTATGTCGTAAGAATGGATAAAGTCGCGGAACTAATAGCGTGAAAGATCTCTCTTCGTCTTGTTCGGCAGAATGCTTCATTGCTTCTAAGACTTCCGGGAAGCCGCAGAGAGTAGCTAATAGATCCATGATCTTACCCGTGCTAGCACTAAGGTCATCTCCTAAGCTGGATAGACTTTCCCACATAATGTAAATTAGTTCGTCGAGTGCCCCTGGTCGAAGCTTG